TTTTTTTGGTGGAACCAGGGATTGAACTCAGGCCCTTGTGCTTGCCAGGGAAGCGCTTATTCCACTGAGCCAGCTCCCTGGCCCTTCTTTGGTATATTTTTTAGATTCATCCTGTTTATCCAGTTGTACAGCCTTTTGGAAAATCTTTCTATTAGTACCTCTCTTACAGAAGAGTGAGAAGTGACCCCATCCCCCATGCCCACTCCTACCATGTTCAAATTTGGTCTTGTTCACAAACACTCCATGTCCTTCAATAGCTCCTCACATGGTTGTGTTAACAGAGAGAAACAGGAAGGTGTATCTGATGTGGTGGTGAATAAGGTAAGTTCGAAATGAGGTCACTTGGAGGCTGAGTGACTTCCAAATGGGAACATCTCAGTCAGGAGGTGAGGTAGGAATGGAGCCCACTCATGCTGAGGATGGGCTCTGAGGTCCCAGGAGAGAGCAGAGAAGGGTCTGTGGTACTGGGATACGAGGGAGGAGTAGAAGCTAAGAGCCATCAAAGAAGACCGAGCAAGTGAGAAGATACAGCAAGTGGGAGAAGATGGGAAAAAACAATCAGTGGGCGCCTAGGGTGGGCCTTGTACAGCAGCCCTGAGGTTCAGTCTCTCCTTCTGCATGATGAGCTTCCTGCTTTACAAACTGAGAGATTCCACTTAGGCATCCAACTCGCCTTCAGGCTAGCAAACTTCAGAGGTTGGGAGTTTCTCTAACACTTGGGTAGGTGTGGGGACAGAGATTACAAAGCTTTTGGAAGGGAAGGAAAGCTGCTTGTTCAACCTGGGTTTATTAGATAAGAGTCCAAACCATAGGCAAAACAGGAATACATGAAAAAGGGGCAGAGGATTCCATGGAGCTACAGGGAAGTCCAGGAGATGAGTCATGGATGCAGCAAAAGATGAGGCTTTTGTGCGACGTTAGAGGGAGCTAGGTGTGACCCTTCCGAGGAGCTTCCAGGAGAGGGGGGTGAGGAAAGTTCACCAGTGTCATCCACTCATTTGGTATGTTTGGCTATGAGAGGAGAAGAGGGGTGATGGTGTGTGTGTGTGTGTGTGTGTCTGTTTGGGAGGAGGGTACAGATGGCTTCACTTTTCTGTTCAGTTGCAAGTTATTTGTTTTGAAGGGTATGAAGGGTATGAGAAGCTGATGCCATCAGAAAACAGGATTGTTTTTCTGGACCAAAGATGAGAATGGAGTAATGATAGGTTCTTGGCAGACGGTGGGGAGGGAGGAACTTACTTTGGTAAGTTTCTCACCCTTGTGAAGAAGGGTTTGAAACTGATAGTTGAGGGAGAGGCACAAAAAACCCTGAGGAAAGCGTAATCCAAACACCTTGGGGATCAATGGAGAAAAGGAAATGGAAGCAGGGCCCACTGGCCCGCAGATGCTCCTAGAGTAAGGCTGAGTGTCATGGCCCCACAGCCCTCCTTACACCCACTGTAGAATGTGGCTGACACCCAAGTGCTAGCCTATGCGAACGGTGGTCTACTATGACATACCCGAAGTCTACCTGGCAACATAGAACTGGAAAGTGGCAACCAAAATTCAAACCCAGGTCTGCCCTCTCTTGTTGAACCACTCAGCTTTACTGAGTCTCCAGGCTGGCAAGATGACCTCATGGCTACGGTGTCACATAATTGTAAAGAACTAAAGAGAGGAGTGAGAAGTTTCCTAACACAAAAGAAATGACATATGCTCAAAGAGAGAGAGAATTGTCTCTCTTTCAAAATTTAAGTCAAATTTAAATTTCTTTGATCATTATGTATGGTATACATGGATCAAATTAGCATACGGGGCCCCATGAATTTGTACAATTACTATACATCAAAAAACTTAGTTGTGGAAAAGTTAACCTTGTAGAACATCTATGGGTGGAAAACAGAATATGGGTAGACTGTATTAACAAGACAGACTGGGGTGCTGATAGAAGAAGAGTGTGAACTTGGATGCCAGGGAGAAGATAAGTCTGCTTCGGAATCCACAGCCTCGGGGACAGAAGCTGAGTGGTGAGTCACTGGCACAGAGTGAACCACAGACTGCCTGGACAGTGGGACACCACAGGGAAGATGTGGACTTCATAATGTGAGTCTCAAAGCCCATCCCACAGAGGCAAGGAAGTGAGAATGGATTTTTCCACTGTCTCTGGAAAAATAAGAATGTCATTCAGTTAAAACAAAATACCAGATGATTCCTTGACTTGCCTAGTAGACAACATGATCTCTCAAAGAATACTGACTTCAGCAAAAGCAGCTCCATTTTGGGTTGAATTCAACTAACTGGAAAGGAACTAGTTGTGAAGTGGAAGGAGAGGACTTGGGGAAACCAATCATTTCCTGTGACATCCAGAGACGTCAGATATCACCTCAGACATTAAGATGACAAATTTTAATAAAGCAGAGAAAACTTAGTGCAAGAGAAAATTTAAGTCAAAGAGAAGATCATTCAAGAAGACTGAAAAGTTTACAGAAGAAAAACTGTGATGACATAACTTAGTGGACATAGAGAGGATGAAAGAAAATTGACATGTTGGCATCTGTATCAGTGTTTTATCAGTCAGAAATGTCACTTGGATTGTCCCTGGATGACTCATGTCAAAGATGGATTTCCAAAACACAAGTACTATGAAAGAACTCCAGGAGACCAAGATTTATCATGACCTGGTTTTTGTCTGCACTGTCCACAAAGCTATGCAGCTCAATACATAAAACAGAGTTGACTTCAAAAATAACATCCTAGTTGGATCAGCTTGTAAACAGACACTCTACAAAGGGGCATTCCGTAAAGCAGTTCTATTACATTGAGTCAGATTTTTTAAAAAAGATTGTAATTATTACATGGCCAGGATCACTAAGTCGATTCCATGTTTATATACTGTTTGAAGTATTTCCCATGTCTTTAATATTTACAGCCCTAAGGAATAGGCATTACCAGTAGCTGCTTTTTATTTTGCGGAACCGGGGATTGAACTCAGGCCCTTGTGCTTGCCAGGGAAGCGCTTATTCCACTGAGCCATCTCCCTGGCCCCCCGCTGCTTTTTATTTTGATCTGAGGGAAGAAAATTCACTGACTTGCCCATTAGATGATGTCTGTAGTCACTGGACTGTCCTGTGTGTTATCTTCCCCAGTGGCTGGTTCTCTTTGTATTACACTCATGAACCAGGAGATCCTGCTGGGAGGAATTTCATTTTAAGTGTTTTATATGTCCGTCACTGCATCATATAAATCTTGCTTCACCCATGGGAAGACACATATCCTGTTAGAAGAGAGGTCCTACTTCCCAGGTTTGTTCCCACTCTTGACTCACTTGACTTTGATGTCAAGCTTTGATGGTGTTATTGTGCCAGATCACCTAAACTGAGGCATGAGGGGGTGTTTCCTGGAGTGGAGCAGGAAGATTTGGTATCTAAGGCCTGCTGTAGAATTGACTCACAGGTCATTCGTCATACCACCAGGGAAGCAAGCCCCAAAATCAAGACTTCTCAGGCAGACACGGCTGGGTCAAACTGCAGCTCTGCGTCTAACACGGGGAATGACTGCAAATTAATGCCAGTGACCTAATCCAGCTGTGTGGACTGACTGTAACTCCTCTGCCCTAGACGTTAAAGCCCCAGCCCTGTGTGAGTACATCTGAAGACATGACATTAGGAGGTAATTAAGATTAATGAGGTCATCAGGGTGGCAGCCTACTCTGATAGGACTGGTATTAGAAGAGGCCACACGAAAACATAGTAAGAAGGTGGCTTCACAAGATAGGAAGAAAGGCCTAAGAAATTATCCTTATAGCACTTTGATCTTGGACATCCAGCATCTAGAACTGTGAGGAAATAAATCTTTTTTTAAAAAAATGTATTTAGTACAGGGTCTACAGGGTCTATAGGCTCTCACTATGTAGATTGGATTTGTAGTGATCCTACCATTTACAGCCTCCCAAGTACTGGGATTGCAGGCACACACCACCACACCCAGTCTCAATCGCTGCCTCAGTGCGCCAGGGGTAGGGCCGGCACGGCAGGCCTGGGGATTGAACCCATGCCCCTGTGTTGGCCTAAGTAGGTGCTTTGATCTGCTGAGCTATCTGGCCGGCCCTAAATCTGTGTTGGTTAAGCCACCTAGTTTGTAGAATCATGTCTGGTAGCCTGGGCTGACCAATATACATCATGCAAGCCTGCTTTCCTATGAGGTGGGATGAAGTACCTGCTTAATGTCCCTCCCTATGTGTTGTTCCCAGAGAAACCACACAAAAGCTGATCACTGAGCCTGGCACATAGTAAGGGTTTGATCGTTTTGATTATTGTCATCAGTACTGAAGTATGGTCTTCTCCCTAGTATCCTCTGCATGTCAGTCTGACCTCCAACATGGTAACGATGAGGTTGAAAGGTGATTCACACCTCCTAAACCTTTCCTGACAACAAAAAAGGATGCATACGTACAACAAGCAGGGTCTGCTAAAATGATAAGTCTCATATTTTATCTTAAAATCATTTATGGAGAGCGGGGTGTGGTGGTGGTACATAAATTTAGCCTCTTGCGAGGCTGAGGCAGGAGGATCAGAAGTTCCAGGCCAGCCTGAGCAACACAGTGAGTCTCTGTCTGGGAATTGGGGCTAGAGGTGTAGCTCAGTGGTAGAAAAGACCTGGGTTTTATCCCCAGCATCACCTGATCCAAAACAAAAACAAAAATAAAACTACATAAAGATTTTTCATTCTAATCTGGAAGAGATAACATATTCTAACGTGTGATACCTAATTTATAAGGTGTTTCTAATTATTTATCACAGTAGAAAAATGAAGATCTAGGTAGACAGCTTGTCTCTTGTGCACTGCCCACACAACTTTATTCTGAGACTACCTTTGTAAATCACAAAGAATGGTTCCCATGCAAGGATTTAGCAGTTTTTTTTTTTTTTTTTTTGGATGAGGGATTGAATTTAGGACCTTCTGCTTGCCAGGCAGATGCTTATGCCACTGAGCTATTACTCAGTTTCTTAGCAGTGTTTTTAAAAATTACTGTTATAACTAATCATCTGGAGGTGCAGTATAAAGTGAGCTTCATCTCACTCATTAAACCATCAGTGAGCTCCCACCATGCGCAGGCGCGGCCAGCAGGGTAGTCACAACAGCTCCACATTCTGCCTTTTGAAGCTTACTCCTGGGCAGAGAGGTGTAAGCTCTTTACACCCTCGCCTGGAAGTCAGTTAACAGGTGAGCCCCTTCCACTCCCTGTCAGCCCTTCAGGTGATGGTGGACATGGTGTTTGATGGTGAAGCCAGGGGCGCAGAGGCTGAACTAAAGTGTGTGTGTTAAGCCTGGCTTTACCTGCCACACGTGTGCTGAGAGGGGTGGGATTACCCTGACACCTATTCTTTGCCGGTTCCTGTCTCCAGGGACTCCTAAACACTTCCTTTCTTCTGGTCACTCCTTTCGTTCCCCGAGGGCCTCAGCACAGCAAACAGACAGGTAGGGGAAAGGGTGCAAGATTATCACGGGGAGAGGGAGGGATTTTCCATTAACCACAGCAACGTTTCCCCACTAGTGCATCACTTGCTAGCCAGTTCACCAAGTGCCTGATCCCTGGGATGCCGGTTAGGAGCCCGAAGTTCCCGTTCCGGCCTTTCACATCGTTCCGGTGTCCAAGCAGGTCCCTTTTCAGACGGCACACGTCCACTGCCCTGGTTTCTCGACCTTTACTAGCATCGTGCTGTCCTCACCCTAACCCCATGAGTGCTGACCTCTCTGCCTGGTCAAGCCCAGTTTCGTTTGCCCCTACCACTTTTGCGAAACTTCCAGTACTGTACGCAGGAGCGCGCCCTTGCGCTCACGCAGCCCCTCCTCCCCTCGCCCCCGGCAGCTGCAAACTCTGGTCTCCCGGAGCTTCTGGCCAGACGCACAGTAGAGTGTCGGTGCTTTGAGTGTGGTCTGTAATCCTTATTTTACCTTTCTTGTGTAAAATGGGCGGGAGGAGTTCGCTGTCCTCAGGAATTCCTTTGGGATCTTTTCTTAAGTTAGGAACTGGTGTGTATAAAATCTCAGTTTCACACTCTGGAGGCGACTCAGCTCCAGGACCGCAGAGACCAATCGGCCGGGCCCCGGATCTGCAGGAGGCACCTGCGCGCACAGCGCCGCGCCTTGTAGTCCCCGCCCGCGCCCCTCGGCAGCGCCGTAGCCCAGCCCGGCCGCCCACCTCGTTCCTTCCTCCTCCGCCTCTCCGGCCTTAGAGCGCCCAGGTCTCCCCTCCCCGCCCCGCGCGGGCGGCCGCCTCGGCTGCTCTTACCCCGGCCTCGGTCCATGGAGCCGCCGGGCGCGGGGCCGCAGGGTGCAGGGCTCCGGCTCGGCTGGTGGTGGCGGGCTCACTGCGCTGCTCTCCGGCGGCCGGCGGGACTCGGCGCGTCCCCTCCCCCAGACAGGATGCTCCCGGCGCCCCCGCCCCGCCTGCTTGCCGGCGCCCGCCCGCTCCCGCCCCTCTGCGCCGCGCCCGGAATAGACCCGGGCTCGCCTCGCCCCCTGGGCCGCCGGCCGGTGTCCAGTGTCCTGCACACGCCCGCGCCACGCCCCGGCTCCACACACCCTCCACGACCCCGCGCTGGGCTTTAATGGGCTCGCTGGCTCCCTGTACAGAGGCGGTGTTCAGGTCTGCGCGCCCTTTGGCAGGGACCCGGGCGTGTGAGTGTGTGTGTGTGTGTGTGTGTGCGCGCGCGCGCGTGCGCGCTGGCTTTTTGACCTCTCAGCCCACGCTAGTGTGGATTTCAGAAACTAGTACAAAGTGTTTTTCTGCAGTGGACAGCCCCTTTGCCTGAAGCTGTCATGCATTTCCTGGGTTTGGGTTGGTCTTCTCCATTTGACACCTTTTAGTGTCCTGTGGTAGATCGGGGCCAAGGCTGGTTCAGTGTCAATGTTGGTGCAAGAGAGGAAGATAATAAATAACAAAAAGAAAACCACAGAGAAACTGGGTTGCCAGAACACAGGCAACGGCTTGGGAACACTGCCAAAACAGTGAAAGGAAATGCCAAAACAGTGATAAATATGGGTGAACCGGACAGGTTAAGCATGCGAAGTACTGTATCGTATCTGTGCACATCTCTCAGAAGAGTTGTATAGGACATGTCCAGAAAGGGAGTTTAAAAGTCATGTGAAAAATGTCAACTCCTTTGTCTTAATAGTGTGCCACTGTGAAAAGCGGTCAACTCCTTTATAGGCATCATCTATGAATGCCTGAATTGAAGACGTAACTGAAACTCAGCCCCAGCTTTCTTCGGAGTTACCCCTCCTTATAGAACGGGCCAGGCCAGCGCTTCTACTTTACTTAAAACGTTTTGCCCTCTAGAGCTCTGCAAAGACAGAGGCAAGCAGGGGCTCCAGCATGGAGCATTGGTGCTTCTGGTACTGGAAATAAGTTCTCCATTGTTTTTATGGGCAAATTAAAATTAGCACTGTCTTTGGCAAGTGGCACCACAGTTTAGTATTTGTGTGTAAGCAGTCAGAGGAAAACATGGTACAGTGAAAAAAACCGGTGGGGTTAAGAGTCTGAAGATGTGTGTGTGTTTGAGAGCTCTAGCTCTCCTGCGGGGTAAGCCCTGAGTATAGCTTCCTGTCTACGGGTCGGCCTGGTGATTGGTGCTACGGGGAACCTCACGCTGACCTCAGGGGGCTGTTGACAGGGCAAATGAAATGATGGGAAAACCCACTTTATAAGCCATAAATAGACATACAAATGTGAGCCACTATTATTTCGTGAGTTCCTCTTTGTTCCTTCCCACTTTTCCAATTTGAAAAGGTCATTGAAAATTCTAAAACAGCTAACCAGCAATTTAAAAGTGGAGAAAGTTCTAAGAGTTCACGTTTGAGCTCTGAAACACTTGGAAATTAGACTACACATTGCAGTCAAGTTCTCAGGCTGGCCCACAGCTCCTAAAATGCATTTCATCTGAAATAATTTTTAAACAGTATGAAACATTTCTATGGCAATAACAGATGGAAGCCCCAGGTGTGGTGGTGTACTCCTGTAATCCCAGCCCGGGGAGGTTGAGACAGAAGAATCCCCCATAAATTTAAGGCCAACCTGGGCTACATAGTGAGTTCAAGGTCAGCCTGAACTACATAGTGAGACCCCGGCTCCAAAACAAAAACAAAACAGATGGAAGCGCTTGTAGTTTGTAGAGACTTTCTTTCTTTCTTTAAAAAATTTATTTATATGTGTGGCCAGCTCAGCCCACCAGGGGGGCGGGGCTGGCTGGCATGTGGTGCTGGGGGATTGAACCGTGGTCCCTGTGCTTTGCTAAGCTTGTTCTAAGTAGGTGCTTTAGACCACTGAGCCATCTCACCAGCCCTGTAGAGACTTTCAAGGGCTTTGGAAATGCATCCAGAGCATTGGACCAGAAAAGAAAAAACAAACAAAAACCCAAAACAAAAAACCCAAAACAGCAACAAATAGAAAACAAAACTAAGGAGAATTTACATGTCCGTGGAGTTATTTATAGTGTGAAACTGAATTGTAATCTGAAAGAGATATAAAAGCGGGAGAACACAGGTGAAAGATGGGTCCCCAAGAATTTATTGCGAAGAACTTGGATTTGGTTTAGATAATTAACCATGATGCCCAGTAGGTGGCAATGCTGACTAATTTGACTACAGCTTGGTTGCTGTCAAGGTAACTGAGTGGGATAGAAGGAAGGGCTATTTGTGGCTTGAAATATGGAAGTAGCTATGTATTTTTCTATACTTTTCCTTTAATAAGGCCTATATTCACCACAAAAGCCAGCTGTCCTCACCATCCATGAACTCATTTAGGCAAAAATAATTGTGCTGTGTGCAAAGGCCTATCAAGAGAATGAATGCCGAGTAGAAATGATCCTCCTCAATGAGGCATCTATAATCTAGTAAAAGAGAATGTATATAGAGTAATTTTCACACAGATCGTTGTGTGTAGAGTACTAAAGGAGAGACCAAATGCTCCTGGAGTCCAGCAAAACACAGCAAGTATATCTGACCAAACATGGAGCTAGTGATGGATGGCAGTAGCTGGGTGCAGTGTCGACTGAGCTGTAGAGGATTTGAACATGCTGTGCTGAGATAACGTTACAGGTAAAGCAAACACTGAGAGCAAGATGTGGAGATAGAAAACGGCAGGATGTGTCTGCCAAGCAGTTTGGGTTGGCCGGATTGTGGGCTATCAGGTGCTAAGTATTAAGACGGAGTAGGGAGTTGCCGTCTAATTTTTTTCTTCCTTTCTGTTTCTTTCAGTGCAGCACTAGCAAGGAGTTGTAGGATCTGCTTGCCATCTTCCTTTTCTTTCTTGCTCACTGCACAGTTTTCCAGATTTGCCTGGTGCTTGTCTAAAGAATCGTGGAGAGGTCCAGCTCTGTAAAAAGATAGCAAATTTGGCTTCCATGAACAATGCCAGGAAGAAAGCCTTGACTTCCTCCTGCTCCTAGTCTTGTGAAAACAAATGTTACCCCCAGGCTCATTCTTAGCTTATCAGGTGGACCTGGAAACTCTGGGAAAGAAACCTTTGGAGGCTAAGAGCCCTTTGTCCCTGGAAATCGTATTCCCACCCTCTAGCCTGTCACTTTGTATCCAGGGTCTGCAACCACCCTGGCCACCAGATGACCATTCCACGATCCCAAACAGATGAGGCCCCTTCCCCCTTAGAAACACCACCTGGCTCCTTTTGGCCTCCACAGAGTCCAAACTCTTTATTATGGTTTTCCAGATGCCACTTTTACTGAGCCTGCATGCAGCCATCTCAGGAGACTTTGGGGAGAATAAGAAAAGTGGGGTATAATATTGGGCTCAGCTTTGAGTCTTGAGTTACCTGCCTGTTATGCTAATCTCAGCTCTCCTGTTGAGCCATCCACATATGCTTTCCTATATATGTACTCATTTCTGGCCCCCAACACAGCGAGGGTGGGTCTGTGTCTTACTAAGTGCCCAGCACCCGGCATCTAGGAAGAGGTAATCCAAGTAAGTTAGTAAGTGTTGGAATATTTGTGAGGTCGGTGATGGGGTCCCTTGTATTTCCTGGGATTGTTTTATTGGCTTATTTCTTTGCAGAGGGAAATGAGATTGACCTGCGGTGTTCTTCGAGAAAGGTCCCTGTGTCTGGGAGGCCCCACGGGAGCTGCTGTGATCATGCTGCTCCTTCGTGGCTCAGGCTGCCTCTCCCATGCTTCTCTGCGCAGGCTGAGCCCCAGAGCCCCTTGCTCGGGTGTCTGCCCAGTGCTGGCCGCAAGATGAAAACCTCGCTTGTTTCAGGCAGCACAATGTTGCCATTATAGCCCCAGCTCAGAGCAGTGACACATGCTGCTGGTCCATCCTGGGACCCGGAGAGCAGACAGAGATCTGAGGGGCTGGTGCTGGGGAATGAGAGGGTCTCATGGGTGGATGGGGTTGCTCCTGCCTCCACACCTTTCAGTTGCCTCTCCAGGGCTCTGCTTCCACAGCCAGCAGACGCAAGCTGTCCGGCAGGTGTGTCTGAAGGAATGGATCCTTTTTCTTTGTGGTTAGGTGCCTCTGCAGAAAAGGATCTTTTTTGTTTGTGGTCAGGTGCCACACACAGCCTGTCCCTCCCTTTGGTCATGCCCCAAGGAAGAGGCTCAGAGGTGCCAGGCCCTGGGCATGTGCACCAAGGGCCTCCAGAGCAGGCAGGGTGTGGATGTAGGCTGGACATGCAGGGCTGAGGCTGAGCAGAGCCCTTGCTCTCCCTGAAGGTCCAGGAGTCAGTTAGCTCAGGCTTAGAGTGCCAGAACTCAGAGTTTTCAGGAGGAAGAGCTCAGAAAACCAGATTTTACTATAAAATCTCTGGAATTAAAAATGTTACCAACTAATTCCCATTGTTTTAGAGCATTGTGAGAAACAACTTTGTCAGGCCTACAGGCCCCTGCAGTGCAAATGTGAGGGAAACTTGGACGTCTGAGGGCCTGTCCAGCTGGGCCCTCTGCCGTGAGGGCCTGAGGTAGCTGCCCCACCTGACACCGCGGGGGACTCACTCTTCGGAACAGCTGAGGCTTCACTCTGAGGCTGTGGGGGATGTTGGGTTGCCAGGTACAAAGCAAACTGCACAACCCAGAGTTAAAACTCCTGAGACCCAGCCAGTGTGCCCCTTTCAATTTGCCAGAGAGGGAAACTGAGGCCAAGCTAGGGGGAGAGATCTTGCCTGAAATCACACAAGGCCTTAGGGGATAGATCCAGGAGTGTGATATCCAGGACTCAAGGTCATTTGAATTGCACCACCCACGCCCTCCATAACCATCATTCTGTTCAGTTTGTGGAATGCACTGCTGATGAGCAAGACTTTGGGGCGAGGTAGCCCTGAGTCTGTACAACCTTCATTCCAACCTCCCTGAACTTCAGATCCCGCATCTAAAACTTGGGGCTATGAGCACCTTCCTGGTGAT